AATCATCTTTTCTGAAACTATTCACCGTATCATGTAAATGCTTTTTTTTTCTTAATTTTTTTTTTTTTAACGTTTATTTTTTTGGGACAGAGAGAGACAGAGCATGAACGGGGCAGGGGCAGAGAGAGAGGGAGACACAGAATCAGAAACAGGGTCCAGGCTCTGAGCCATCAGCCCAGAGCCCGACGCGGGGCTCGAACTCACGGACCGCGAGATCGTGACCTGGCTGAAGTCGGACGCTTAACCGACTGCGCCACCCAGGCGCCCCTGTAAATGCTTTTTAAAAGCGAATTTCTTCATTTTTACACCGTCCTGGGTTCTTTTTCTGCAACCACAGTCTCAAATGAGAATTTAAAAACTCCGTTGTCAGACCTAGAGTTTCGTGTTTGGGTTTTGAAAAGCGTGGGCACTCCATAAATAGAACCTTGTAGCCTTCGGCCTCGGCGGGACTGGCCACACTCCCCGAGGGTCTCACGGTGAAGGCGGTCTCTCAAGGGCCTGCACTGCAGCCTGGTAATAATGAGGAAATCTTCAGCAGTGCCTTGGCTGGTCTGTGCCTTCACTTGAAGCAGGCAGGGCCCCAGGGCTAAGTTCCAGGCGGGGCTGAATCTGGGATGTGAGCTTCCGTCAGGCAGTGAACTTCAATTGCCCAGCAGTCTTAAGCCCGAGTCACAGATTGGGGTTAAAAATGCTTACCCTACACCCTGCCCGCACTGCACCCCGGTTGTTTTTGTATCTTTAACCTCTGCTCTTCCCTCTGGGGTGGCCATATATCATCTGCAAGGGCGCTGGCTGTCAGGAGCCCTCTGTTGCCCAGGCTCTGCTCTGTCCTCAGCCCTAGTTCCTCTTCTATCAGGAAGTGCCCAATTCCAGCTTTAGGTATTGACCAAAAATAGCACTCAGAGAACCTCCATGGACACATGACTGACCCCGGACACCCTGGGGGCTATCTGTACTTCCTAAAGAAGAGCTTGTTACAGCAAACCCATACCTCAAGGGCAAAATGGGAGTTTGAGGGTGTTCCTTTTTTTGGGGGGGGGTGTGTTCTTTTAGGGCAGGGTATGTGTTGGGATTTGGTTCCCTCTTCTCTTGGTCAGCAGGATGGTTCTCTCCCAGGTTGTTAATCTTCCCCAGCTAGTTCGCAAGTTTGTAAATCTTGTAAATTTTGTAAATCTCCGGATCACCAGCCCCTGTTGCCAGCTCTGAGCTCGAGAATTCATGAGGGAAGGGAGTAGGAGCTGGGCCAACACACCAAGTGAATTTCAAAGGCACGGCCATGGTGTAAGCACAGAGAGCACCCCAGTGTGTGTTTGCTTGTTGGACTCATCATGCTTTAAAAAAAACCAAAACGTTTGAAATAACTTTCAGAAACTCTCCAAATATAATTTGACTAACCCCACAGAGATGATAGGGAGATCAGTGAAACACTCTGTAAGCTTCATTTTAGACTCATTGACAAAAGATGCCTCAGAATTGTAAAGAGTTCTTCTGCTTTTGATTTTCAACGTGATTATATTAGCCTCAGCAATATTTTTAAAAGATCCTAAGAAGGCATATTAAATGAAACCCCCAGGAAACTGGGATATTTAGATGCCTTAAGGCATTCTGTTACAGTGCTGATAATTCCTGTACCGTGCATTTCATAAGTACTCTCTCCCTCCCCCCACCTCTCCCTTTCTCTCTCTCTCTCATTCATTCATTCATTCATTCATGCATTCAAAGAACCCTGGATACTGTGCCTGTGTAAGGAATTGTGCCAGGGGCTACGTGAAATCCAGCAGTCACCAAGAATATTCTTTGCCTTTGAGGAGCTTTCAATCAAGAATGCAATTCTTTTGAAAAAATGTTTTAAAACACACCCCTTAGATGGCGTTGCTCATTAATTAATGAAAATCATGTCTGTATTAAAATAGGTGTGGGGATAGGTATTTTTCTTACTTCCTAGAAGAAAAATCTATTCATCACGCAGTTGAGTAAATTGTGGGAGCAAATCGGCTCAGTAGGACTTGGCGCATCTTGCGATTCTAGCCTCAGGGGCTTTTTCGCCTACAGCATTTGTGTCTTGGAGCAACAGTGCTGGGTCTGGGTTCAGGTCTGGCCCCACCACTCCTCTCACTGTGTGACCTTGGCCACGCCTGGGTCTCCTCTGCTGCGGAATGGGCATCTTCATTGACCAGGGCCTTGCACATGAAAAGCCCCATGGGGTGTCTGCTGTTCTTAGAATTCTTTACGAATACTAATTTTCTTGTCGCTTAAAGCAGCATGGTCCGGTATGGTAGCCACTAGCCACGTGTGACTCCTGAGCACTTGAAATGACCGGTGTGACGAGTGTGAATGAAGATGGGCTCCAAGTGCAAAATACACACTTAAGTTTCAAAACCAAATGTAGGAACTAGGTTGTAGAATGCCTCGCTACTAATTTTATACCAATTACGTGTTGAGATGATAGTTTTTTTGCTGTACTGGGGTTCAGGAAAGTAACGGTATTCAGATTAAACTACCAGCGTGGCTCACGTTAGGCCTTCTCTTGGACAGTGCCGATTCAGATAAAGACGCAGTAACCACAGTTTAAGGGGAACACGCCGTCTTTCACCTGAATCGTAAAATAAAGCCGCGAATCCTGGGGAATGCTTTGCGAAAAACATGTTGAAGAAAACATGCCTCTGGTCAAGAAGCAACACAGGTGTTCCGTCCGAGCTTGTCTGTTAACATTGCCCAGTCAACCCGACTCCTGTGACACGTGACTCTTCAGTGACCATTATTATATTCTTTTTTTAGTGACAAGTTCACCCGATTTTGCCAGTGGAAAAACGTAGAATTAAACATCCATGTGAGTATCCTCTTAATTCTTTCCCCCCCTTTTTTTTTAAATAAAAACTTCCTCTGGCTTAACTTCGTGAGAAAATACTTTATCCCGGAGCACACTCCCACGGGTAATGCGCCACTAACAGATGTCTCCCTTACAGCTTTAACGTAAGAAGAATTCATCCCCCCGTACCCGGTTTCATAAACAGTTCGAGGTTTAATTCTCTTTTTTCCCATTCATATAAGGATGTGTTTATTTAGTTAAGAAAGGGTATTTTAAGCAGTGACTGACCCACAGAAATAGTAGTAAAAAATACAAGTCTCCTACAGAATGTGCTTCCCGCATGCTCTTGTCTTTCGGCATCCTGGTAAAGAGTCTCTTCTCTTTCTTATTATTAGGTCTAATCTTGTCATAAGAATGATGGCATCTCTTATTAGCCCAAGGTTTCATCTCCTTTTTTTTAAATTTATTTTTTTTTTTTAATATTTTTGAGAGTGAGAAAAGCAGTCCTCAGAAACCGGCTACTTTGTAACACACATTTCCCGAAAGGCTCATCTGCTTCCAGCTTTCAACCTCAAGTTCTGGGGCATGCCCCCTGCTTCACTTTTAGAACCCTCCTTTTTTTTTTTTAAATTTTTTAATGTTTGTTTATTTATTTATTTATTTATTTATTTATTTTGAGAAAGAGAGCGCGAATGGGGGAGGGACAGAGAGAAAGGCAGACACAGAATCCGAAGCAGGCTCCAGACTCTGAGCCATCAGCACAGAGCCTGATGCGGCGCTTGAACTCACAAACCCGAAGATCGTGACCTGAGCCATAGTCAGACGCTAAATCAGCTGAGCCACCCAGGTGCCCCATACCCTTGTTTCTAGATACAGCCTCTTTTACCTTCCCCTTCATGTCCATTTGTGAGTAAGAAAAATCATCAACTGGATTTTTTTTTTTTTTTTAACTTGAGGATACCATTGGGAGAAGCAGTTGTGTGTGTGTGTGTGTGGTTTTTTTTTTTTTTTAATTCTTCTTCTTCTTTTTTTTTTTTTTTTTAAACTTCCCCTTTCTTTCACAGTTCCTGGCAGGATTGTAGAAACAAGAGGGAAATCACACATTTTTCAAAAATATCTTCTGTATTTGCCATAGAGCTTTCTCACGCTTCTGCTCCTTCAGCAGACCCCGGGCGCTCATGTCCTGCTGTCTGTCCCCTGAGCATCAGATGTGAGGCCTGTGGGCCCAGTTAGCTGTGGCTGCAAACGTGTTTCAAGGGCTGTGTGGGGGGAACCCTTCAGGAACCTGACCCTTAACTTGCCAGCATGCATAAGCTACTAAGGTGTTTGCTCTTTTCCGACTGCCCCTTTAGACATCGGGCTCACTGTCTGCCTTTGTACCATCGAAGACTGTTAAAGCTACTTGGGAGGTGGGGCATTGCTGAGATCCTGACACAAGGAAAGGGCTTATGAATGAAGCCTCTTTATACACTTTCCTCCTACTTCGGGTCTTGTTTCATGCTCATATGCCCAGCGTGAGTCCTAGCGATTCCCTGACGTTATCGATAAAAAATTCACATGGCCGGCACCCGCCGAGTTTTCTCATCATATGGCCCGCCGTTAGGAAAACATAGATGCCCTCGATGTAGACTTACTTTTTTTACCATGACAGTTCCTGGAATTGCTGAGCTGTTCCCACACTTCCGGCTTCAGAGTAGCTGAGGTGGCTTTTCATTTGGACTAGAAATTTCACACTCCCCTGTGTTCGGGGCATACGGCTTACGACCTAAAACGCAGGAGAGCGGAAAAACGACCTGACTCGGCTCCCACTCTGTCCTCGTCCCACTCGCCTCCCTTTTGTGCGCTTTGAGGGTGGAGCACATGGAGGTTCTAGAAAGTCTTGCAGCCTTGCCCATCTTGTCTTGCAGCCCGGGGAATCAGTCGCAGAAAGGGCAGATCCCGCTGTCAGAATTGCTCTTTTAGTAACTGTGTGTTGCATGAAAACAACAGCATGATTTTAATGCAGTTCTGTGTTTTCGTATCGTGTTTTGAATTCACAGTTGACCATGAATGATTTCAGCGTGCATAGAATCATTGGACGAGGAGGATTTGGTGAAGTGTATGGTTGCAGGAAAGCAGACACTGGAAAAATGTAAGCTTTCTGTGGGTTCTGTGCTTGCGTCAAAAGAAAATACCTGCATAGATTTGTGGAAGCCCCCGATCTCACTCCTGAAGTAACTTCACCTCAGAAAGAAAAGGGCTGTTTTTTGTGAGGCATCGGAAATGAGAACAGTTGGCTGGAACTTCCATCACGTAGAGTGAAATGGGAAGTTAGCCAGTGACTATGTGTCATGAGCCCCTATCACTCAGGCCGTGGGTGAAGCAGTCTGGGACCTAGAAGTGACCAAGAAGGGGCGTTCTGTGCCGCCTCCCGGGCCAATCCGGTTGCAAAGAATTCTCTGCTTCGCAGAGGAGAGAACTTTTCTTCTAGACAGTGACCACCCGTGATTTAGCACATACGCTTTTCGGTGGTGTAACATCCCAGGAGATGTCGGTTCCCGTAGTTGGGTAGCTCGAGCCCTGGCGAACAGGGTGCCCTCCTAGGAGGGCCATGATCATGGGTCTCCATGACTGCGTCGGCCGCTGATAGTACAGGTGGTTGATGTGAGGCAGTTAACATGCACGTGTGCCGGGTGTGAGGCTCTTCCAGAAAGTGAATGGTGGAGTTCTTAAGTGGTGCGGGTGTCGGCGGGGGGGGGGGGGGGGGGGGGGGCTAGTTTTTAGAAGCAGTTTGTTTACGTGAGCATATATTCAAAAGCAAAAGACAATGGGAAAATACAGTTTGATAGGCCCAGAACCACCAGTTTGATCGAGTGACAGGCCTTTTAGAATAACGGCAAAGTGGAATAGTCTGTGCGGCTTGGTCTGAGTCAGTGTAAGAGGAGTAATTGGGGTCAGCGAATTCAGTGTCCTTCTCCCCCCACCACCGGGTCATCACTCAGCCTCTGCTCGGGTCCTCTCCGTGATCGGGCACTGACGGCCTTGCCGGGTGGCCCTCTTAGTTTTCAGACAGGTCCAGTAACTGGCACGATCTTTAGTAGGTGGGGGCTGGAATTCACCTTCACTAACTTACACCCACTGGTCTTCCTGTTTTGGGGCCCTGCGTGGGGTGAACCCAGTGTCTGGCACTCGGGCATCTGAAGTCTGGTGCCCTGCTGAGACAGGATGGCCTGGTGATCCAGAGTGGGGGCCCTGGCGTCCCATGGCTGGGTCAGACCCGGCTTCCGCTTTCCGGCCGGCACGAGGTTTGTGCCTTCTCTCGGCCTCTGCACCCAAGTCTGTAGGGTGGGGAAAATACTTCCCGGTTGTGAGAATTGAACGGGATGGTACATCGTAAAGCCTGCAGATAACTGCCTGTTCCATAGTCCGTATTAGCGAACAGTCCTCTGCGGCCCCGTCTCTCGTCCCGATTCTGTACTCCCGCGGTGGACTTTGACGCTAAGTGTCGCTCTTCCTTTGGCACTTATTCCATTTCACCAAATGTGTTCGCTTGCCTTCCTCACGGCCCAGGTGTTTAGGAGATCTGCTAATCTGCCACATGATGTGCAAGTCAATAATGTCACCGTGTGTCCCTGCATTACGTTGGTTATTTCACGCGATTCTCTGTGTGTGGAAAACTGTCTTCCACTTTCTAGAACAAGGGTAGACACTTACCGGGGAGTCCCACGGCTAGGAAGCGGCCAGGCTCAGTCCCTGTGGATCCTGGAGCCCATCCGTGAACTGCCACCCACCTCGCTCAGAAGCCAGTGGCAGCCAACTGGCTTAATTAACCCAGGGGCTCAAGGCCCGTGTGTGCCAGTTTCTCTGGTCTGCAGTTTGAACGTTCTTCCAAATGCCAGCCTGGTAGGGGCTAGTGATAGAAGCAGTAGGACACAGTTTGAAAATTCATCATAGAACTTGAATGAAGAACACATTACTTCATATGTTCTCATGTGTAATCCCTTAACTAAGCACATTAACGTCTCCATCAGTGGATTTGTTATAAAGAGCTCCTGGGAGAGTCGATAAAATTACCAAATTTGGGGGCGGCTGGGTAGCTCGGTCGGTGGAGCATTGCCTCTTGATTTCAGCTCAGGTCACGATCCCAGAGTTGGGGGATCGAGCTCCATGTCGGGCTCCGGGAGGGATGTGGAACCTGCTTGACATTCTCAACCACTTTCTCTCCCTCCCCACCACCCACTCTATGCTGCTCCTGTGCACGCACTCTCTCTCTCTCTAAAAAGAAAAGCAAATATCAAATTTGAACATCCCTCTCTCTTTTGCTAAGTCATAACATTGTGAGTTATGATCGGTTAGAAACAAGTGGATTTTCTGTGTCCCGTCACAGCCAGACAAACATCCACATTGTGTGCCAGGGCCTTGTAAAGTGGGACTTACAGTCACACACAGAGTTCTGAAGCCCCTGAGGCCCCTGTGAAAATGTCCTTTCAGCTTTCTGCTGTGCTGCTGACAAATCATCCTTCTTTCTTTAACCTGCGATTATAGAGAATGCCAAATAGCATGTCTGCATTACCTTAATAGAAGTTTGTTCCAAGGCTTCAAAAAGCTTAAGTTGTCAGCTCTTTCTTCTCCACCAACTTTTATATGAAAGTCTTACGGATTCTTTTTATTATTTGAAAATACGATAACTTCAATATCCAGATTAAAAACAAATCAGGGCTGCCTGGTGGGCTCAGTGAGTGGAGCATGTGACTCTTGATCTCCAGGTGGTCCATTCGAGCCCCACGCTGGGTGCAGAGATTACTTAAAAAAACTAAAAACAAACCAATGAAACAGCATTTTAGAACGTGCCTTTTTGAGCATGGGCCGTCCCTTTTCATTTTGTTGGTTGCCAGTGTTTGAGTCTTGCCCTCTGCACTCTTGCAAAATCTTGACCACTGCTGAAATCACAGTTCCTAAAAGCTAAATATTATGCACACTACTGCAACACACAGTAGCAACTAAACAACAATATGTCCAAAGTTTTATTTTCACCAAATTTATTCACATCCCTCTACTTCAGGTTCTCATTTAACTGGAACTTCTATTTGTGTAATGGTATTAATATCTTAATTATTGCTTAATTTTTTAAGCTTTATTTTGATTTAAAATTTTTTAAAGAAACATTTTATTTTATGTTATGTTATGTTATGTTATGTTATGTTATGTTATTTATTTTTGAGAGAGAGTAAGTGCATGAGGGAGAAGCAGAGAGGGAGGGAGATCGAGAATCCCAAGCAGGCCCTGCACCCAGCATGGAGCCGAAAGCAGGGCTTGATCTCACAAACCATAAGATCATGACCTGAGCCAAAATCAAGAGGCTGATGGATGCTTAACCGACTGAGCCACCCTGGCGCCCCTGATACCTTTTTACTTCGAATTTTATTTTTGACACCTAATTTTAGGTTTACAGAAAGGGTTCAAGAACACACCCAGTATCTCTGTCTTACGTTACTATGGAACATTTGTCCTAACAAATGAACTAATATACATTATTATTCACTGAAGTTTCTACTTTTTTGGGGTTTTTTTACTTTACTTTAAAAAAAATTTTTTTTAATGTTCATTTATCTGTGAGAGACAGAGAGAGAGCATGAGCAGGGGAGGGGCAGAGAGAGAGGGAGACACAGAATCTGAAACAGGCTCCGAGCTGTCAGCACAGAGCCCGATGCGGGGCTCGAACCCACGAACTGTGAGCATAAGTTGGACGCTTAACCGTCTGAGCCACCCAGGCGCCCCTTTACTTTTTTACTTTACTCTTTACCCAATGGCCTTTTGTGTTAACCAGATCCCGTGTTACATTTAAGTCCTCTCGTCCCCTTAGGCTCCTTTAGACGGTGTAGTTTCTTGGACTCTCCTTGTTTCTGATGGGCTGTGCTGCTTTGAGGACCCGTGGCCAGGTGTATTGTGTGATGTCTTCCAGTTTAGACATGCTTTCCTCCTGGTTATACTGGGGCTGTGGGCTTTTGGAAGGAAGACCCCAGTGGCAGAACACCATTCTCATCGCGTCCTATCGTGGGTGCCCGTCGTCAACATGATTCCTCACTGTTGATGCTGACCTTGACCGCCTACTTGAGGTCGCGTTTGTCAGGCTTCTCCACCATAACGTCACTGTCCCCTCTCCTCCACACGGTCCTCTTGGAAAGGAGCTTACTGTGTGCCGCCCCCACCCAAGGAGTGAGGAGGGACGCTCCACGTTGAAATGTTTTCTTAATGTGTGCAAAATTTAAAAAATACATTTTTTATAAATATTTCTTTTTTATAATTTTTTTCTTTTTTTTTTGCATGACAGTCAGCAAGTACCATTTTGCTTCTTTCAAACACTTCCCGAGTCTTTAGAAACTTTCCCCAGTACGACATGGATCGTTTAAAGCAGCTTGGATTCTTTCCAGCACAGCTCTTTCAATAACATTTATGTTTCCAGGTACGCAATGAAATGCCTGGATAAGAAGAGGATCAAGATGAAACAAGGAGAAACATTAGCCTTAAATGAGAGGATTATGTTGTCTCTTGTGAGCACAGGGGTGAGTATTCCGTTTGGAGCACTGCTTGCTCTGGTCTTTGCTGGTTGCTCGGTTTTCCAGATCGAGACAATTTATTTAAAATGCAGGCATTCTTTCCCGGCAAATTATGCAGCCAGCCAGTTTTCGGGTGAGTGAGCGTTTATAGCAGGGAAAAGCAGCGCTAAGTTAATATAAATAGTGTAGAATCCGCATATTATCTCTGTTTAATTTGGGAGTTGGAAAAGTGCTAGCGACCATCATTATGCACACCCACGACGTCTCCCTTTAGTGGCTGTTTTATGACTTTCCTCTGTGCGGAACGTGGTTGCCGAGATGGCAGGAAATAATCGCGGCAACGGCAACGAAATCACTTGAGTCTAGTTAAGAACTGAGTGCACGACGGAGGACTGACCCAGAGAAGCTGGAGTACAAGGAAAGTCGCTCTTGTCCTTTGTAAACAGAGAGAGAGGAAGCATCTTGGATTACTCAAGTCCGAATTGCACTTGGGGCTATGCGCCATCAGGAGAAGGTGGCTCTGTCTTCGGGGCCCTTGCTGCTTTTCACCTGCTGCCGTGGACTTCGGTCATTTCCATTTCCAAAACGGTGTTTCCACCTGTTGGACAGTTTATTTGTCCATCAGCCTAGCATTTTTAGCTCAGCCTGTGTCAAAAACTTCTGCCCCGTGACTTCTTGCAAAACAGGATCCCATTCTGGCCGTTTTTGCAGTGAACGGTATGAACCTTGGCGTTTCTGTATTTGAACAGATGGGTATGAAGACACCCAGAAAAACTCAGTGTCCCAGAAACCTGGGCAGTCCTGCGTGTGCCAGAGGGCCTGCCATCCAGCGTGCAGAGGGGGTCAGGGACTCAGGGTCTCCAAGGGAAGGCAGGAAATGAGGGTGGAGTGGCCAGACGCATGCTGAGTGCCTCCCCCTGTGAATTTAAAGCTAATCACCAAGCCAAGAAGGTTTATATGCAGTGAGATATATTGGGGAGGGTGTGGCCTCCCAATAGCCTAGCTGGTTTCTAAACAGGCTCATTCTCACCCAAAGGATAAAGGAATCAGACTTTAATGGTGAATCAAAGAACCCTTTTCGACTAGTAAGCAAGGAACCCGACACCCGGAGGGGTTAATTTCCTTAGCCAGAGTCTATAGACCCTCTGACTAGTGTTCCTGTCTTACGATCACCTTCTAAGCTCTGTGTTTTTTGGTTAGCACCTATATTTAATGTATTGTGGTTTATGTTTTCCTGGGGTTCGTTTGAAGCAGTTTCAGAAAGGTTATGTGCTACCGAAGTAAAGGATTCTCATAATTTGGCTCAACCATAATAAAAAAAGAACACTGTAGCTATAAATAATCTCTAACTATGTGCCTCTGCCTCCTAACATCTGGACATTGAGCATTTCAAGTAAGAGTCGTGTTGGGTGCGTGACCGCGTTTGCACCTACTTGGAACCGAAGCTGAGCAGCTCACACACTGTTGGAATCAGTAAGAATGGCATTGGTTTCTAGTTTCTATTGGAAATGTCATCGCCTTAAATTTCAAACATGGGTGTGCCCTTACTGCAGATTTTAAGTGGTAATTAAAATATTAATTTTTCATGAGCCATCTCCACACCTTGCATGTTTATTCTCGAGAAGGCCTGTGGGGAAAACGTTGGGAGTGTTGAAGAAATATACATACAGTTTTCACATAGCATTTTTATAGTTACTTTTTTCAGGCGAGGGGGAATATGGTTATGTAGATGTATCGGTCATTCTTCACCCATCTTAACCCTCTACGGGAAGAAATAAAAAATTGGTCTACTACTTTGAGCTGATTTAAAAGAATTATTTATATTTTTAATTCAAGTATCAAGCCTTTTTGTTTGGTTTCATTTTTTGGGAATTAGAGGTTGATGTTTTTTACTTATCAATACATAATTTAACCAAAAGTGCTGTAACAACACTATTTGGAATTTTTTCCTTTTTTGCTAATCAAAGGCCACTTGTTCTGGTTCTTTAATCATCGTTAAGTTAAAATCACCTCACTAGGCTACACTTAAGATCAGCCTGTTGGCGTGGACTGGACTGCTGTCCCTCATTACAGTTTTCCTTATATTGGGAGGGTTTTTTTGTTTGTTTGCTTGTTTTTCCTTCCAATTTCAAGTTGAGTGTTTCTTCCCCCAACCTTTCAAAGAGATAGTGGCAGTACCATTCCCAGTTTGATTCTAGAATAGTAAAAGGGTAATCTTTAGGATTAAGAACTAGGATAAGTATGTCCACAGGTGAGAATGTCCATAGCTGAGAAGGAACAGTCAGCACCTTCATTAAACAGTCACATAGTGTCCTCCGAAGTGTCATTCATTCCTTGAAACACGTTTCCGTGCCTAGATCATGCCAGGCATTCTCCTGCAGGATGGAGGGTCCCAAACTGTGACTTTGGTCCCTGCTCTTTCAGAGCGACACAGAATGAGGGAAGGTGCTAGTGTTCGCATGATCTCAGACATGTATAAGTAATCAGGACACCTCTAGAAGGTGCCCGGTGCTCAGGAGGCACTTAGCAGGGAGGAGGTGACAAGGGATAGTCCTCAGAGGTCACAGGAGGTGTCAGTGCTTGTCTGGGTCCTGGGCGCTTCAGGAGGCTTTGCAGACTTTGGAGAAGGTCAGCTGAGCTGGGGTCTCGAGTGGTGCGTGCATAGCTCCAGATGAAGTTGGAGTGGAGAGGGAGACCGACAGGCCAGGCCAGCCTGTAAAGAGCTTTCTAGGCCAATACTGAGGATTTAAAAAAGGAAAAAAAAGTCTTTTAGCAATTGGAGACAAAGTGTTTTAAGCAGGAAGTTAACAGAAGCCTCCTCCTGACTGCAAGGTGGAGAATTTTCTTGAAGAAATACTTCGTGCTGTATTTTGTCACAGTTTTGCAGAGTTCCTGCAAAAATACAAGCTGTTTTGCTCGGTACCGGTAGGAAATCAAAGAAGACAGTTCCTTGCTGAGGGTCTACCTCTATGAGGCCCTTTAGTTCTTACTGCCTTTAATTTGTAATCAAGGCAGAACATCTTAACCATAATGATGTTCACAACTGTATCAGCCCCATCGCCGAACTGCCATTTTTTCACACTGGTCGGTATTTGGTTCTTTGCGTCTCGAGCTTCCCACGAGACCTGGTGTGGTATCTGCCCAGCACCTGAGAGGTGACGGATTGCAGTCAGCATACAGATAACTGAATCGCATCCCTTTAACTGAGCTCTTACTTGACTTTGCCACAGAAGCCCAGCCTTTGTGAGCAGTGTAAGTAACATAGAACCCTGGAGAGGGTCAGGAGACTGGGGGTTGAAATCCTGGCTGGCTACCCCATTTCTTTGTGACCTCAGGCAAGTCATTTCCCCTTTTTAGGGCCTTAGTTTCTTTATTTTAAAAATAAACACGCAGGACCAGGTGATTTTTTTTTTTTTTTTAAAGAGCCCTTCCTGTTCAGAAAGCCTGTGATGCTAAATCTACAGTTCATGTCCCTTCTTAATAACATATGATCTTAAGTGAACCTATTTTGTTTGCCTTTTGCCATTTCCTTGGGGCTACCATTAGGAGGATCATATCCCATTGTGTTCAGAAATACCCCTTCGCAGGGCCCACCGTCTCCTTGGTGGAGTGAGTACAGATGCCCTCTGGAGCTGGGAAGGACTCTGGCCTCACTAAGTTCTGGGTCCACCCGCCTCTCTGCTCTACAGATGAATTGCTCATCGGATCAGGAACCAGAGTGTGTGGGGAACCCCGTTCAGGAAGGAGCAGAATGAGCCATCTTCAGCAGGCTATTAAAAAGGTGGTTCCCTAAGGGCTTCCAAGTGGGAGGGTGCCCCCCACCTCCAGGAAGGCCACATGGCTTTTAACAGAAAAAGGAAAGCACTTTCATTTTGCCTGTTTAAAGCAAAATCAGCCTTGAAATCAGTAATCACTAATACCATCTCAACGGTGTTTTAAGGCAAACTAGGTAATCACAAAATGAAATTTGTCGTTCATTCCGGAAGATACATGGAAATTGTATTCAAGTTCATGAACCTCTGGTATAGAAAGGAGTCAGATGTATCAGTATGCCCTTAATACAGAGGTTTGGATGATGCAGATTCAGTGTATAGATTATTCTGTTGAAACCTGACTATTTTCTATGGAATTTAATGATTTTTTTGTTTCTGTTAAGAAAGTGGATATAGATGTGGGGTGTTTTTTTGGCCAGTTTCTATTTTAATCAGTTGAGTGGTGAGTATACAGTGTATATAAAGAATCTAAATGGACCCAGTTATAGATCTGGCTTAGCACTGAGGAGTTTTCACGAGGGAACACAAGCATGTATCCAGCACTCAGATCAAGGGATAGAAAGTTAGTCGTATTCCTTGGGGCACCTGGGTGGCTCAGTCGGTTGAGCATCCAACTTCGGCTCCAGTCGTGATCTTGCCGTTTGTGAGTTTGAGCCCTGCGTCGGGCTCACTGCTGTCGGTGCAGAGCCTGCCGTCAGATCCTCTGTCCCTAATCTCTCTCTCTCTCTCTCTCTCTCTCTCTCTGCCCCTCCCCGCTTATGCTCTCTCTCAAAAATAAACATTAAAAATAATAAATAAATAAATAAATAAATAAATAAATAAATAAATAAAATAAAGTTACTCATATTCCTGAAGTCTTGTGCCTCTTCCAGTCACCTACCCCGCGCCCAGGTTAACTACTACCCAGATATCTAACACTGTCATTTAATTTGGCTTTGCCTGTGTTTGAACTTGGTATACATGTGCCCTCTCTCATCTGGCTTCTCTCACTCAGCGTGGCTTGTGAGATTCACCTGCATCATCGCACGTGGCCATGGTACATTCTGCGGCTACGTAGCAGAGGTCTGCAAGCTGCATATGGCCGACGGACCAGATCTAGCTTGTGGCCTTTTTTTCTGTAGAGCCCATGGACTGGCAATGGGTTTTCCATTCCTGAAGCATTGTACGGAAAATAAACAAAGGATATGTGACAGAGGTGGCCTGGAGCCTGCAAAACCGAAAATAATTCGTGTCTAGCCCCTTGTACACAAACTTGCTGACCCTTGCTGTGTAGCATTCCCCCGCATAAAGTGACCGCGGTTCACGCATCTGTTCTAATACCGGTAGACATCCAGGTTACTTTCCGCTTGGGGCTCCTTTGAACAGTGCTGCGAGGAGCATTCTCTTGCAGTTCTCTTAGTGCACGTTGGGTACGGGCTGCTGTGAGGTGTGCAGCTGGCGGTGGAAATGCTGACGCCTGGGGCTTGCAGATGGGGCCCAGTTTCGGCAGATGGCCCCGACCAGCTGCCAGAGCGGTTGTTGGCACCATGCGCTCCTGGGTGCCGTATGTAGGGGTTCCGTTTACACGCTGTCTTTCCAGCCACTTGGCCTTGGTGGTCTTTTTGATTTTGCCCATTCTCTTGGGGTTTAGCGATAACACATTGTGAGGACACATCTCCTTGGTGACCGCTGATGCCCAGCACCTGTTCATTGGCTTGTGAGCCATTCGATGACCCTCCTATGTTTAGTGCCTTTATTGATTTGTTGGCTGGTTTATTCATTTATATTGTTATTATTACTCCTACTATTGCCATTTTTTGCCACTGCTCTGTTGGGTCGTTTGCCTTTTCCTTTATTGATTTATGAGAGCTCTTTATATATTCTAAGTATGAGTCCTTTCTGCATGTATGGATTGCAGATATCTTTTCCTATTCTGTGACTTGCCTTTTTACTCTCTTGATAGTGTTTTCTGAAGGCCAGAAGTTCTTGATTTTATTTTTGTCCAGTTTAGCAGTACTTCCACCATTAGTGCTTTTGGGTGGCCTGAGAAATCTTTACTTACCCTAGGGTCACAAAGATACTCTCTTTTGCTTTCCTCTAGAATATTTATTGTTTTCCCTTCAGATCTTTGTCTTCCTGAAGTTGACTTCAGTGTGTGGTGTGAGGTAGGGGTTGGCATTCACATTCTGTTGTACAAATATCCATTTGTTCCAGCATATCACGGAAGGGCCATCCTTTCCCCCCACCCTGTTGTGTCACTTTATCACAAATCAGTTGACCATTTGTGTGTGAGTCTATGTCAGGATTCTCTCTTCTGTTCTGTTGGTCTGTCTGTTCTTGGGCTACTACCACACTGTCTGATTTACTGTTGCTTTATAATAACTTTTGGGGCATGTGAGTGGCTCAGTCAGTTAAGTTTCAGACTTTGGCTCAGGCCACGATCTCACAGTTCATGGGTTCGAGCCCCGCATCCAGCTCTGCGCTGACAGCTCAGAGCCTGGAACCTGCTTCGGATTCTGTGTCCCCCTCGTTCTCTGCCCCACCCTTGCTCACACTCTATCTCTCTCTCTCTCTCTGTCTCTCTCTCTCTCAAAAATAAACATTAAA